CTGACTCCAAGATGAACATGAGTCGTCAGCATGACAGTGATCACCAAGGCTAAACACACTTTATCATGCATTAGCATATGCATGATGAACAGGTCTAGGGAGGCAATGCTTCCCCTCTGTGCAGCACTGGTCAGGCCGCAGTTGGAGTACTGTGTCCAGTTTTGAGCACCGCACTTCAAGAAGGATGTGGACAACATGGAGAGGGTTCAGAGGAGGGCCACTCTCATGATCAGAGGCCTGCAGGCAAGGCCCTATGAGGAGAGACTGAGGGACTTGGATCTCTTCAGCCTTCACAAAAGAAGGCTGAGAAGTGATCTTGTGGCTGCCTATAAATTCATCAGGGGAGGACAGCAGGGAATAGGAGATGCTCTATTTACTAGGGCACCCCCTGGAGTAACTAGGAACAATGGCCACAAATTGACGGAGAGCAGATTTAGGTTGGACATTAGAAAGAACTTCTTCACAGTTAGGGTTGCCAGAATCTGGAATGGGCTTCCAAGGGAGGTGGTGCTCTCCCCTACCCTGCAGGTCTTCAACAGGAAACTGGACAAGCACATAGCTGGCGTCGTCTGACTCCAGCGCTCTTTCCTGCCCAGGGCAGGGAGTTGGACTTGATGACCTACTCAGGTCCCTTCCAACCCTACCATGTATGAATCTATAAAGGCAAACAAATACATCTGCCAGTAGCAGACTTGTGGAACTCAAATTATTAGCGTATGTACAAGAACATTAAGGCAACTTTCCTACTTTTTGGAGTACCTACTTCTGACAGGAACATTGGATTTAGTATTACAGGGTTCCTGCAAGATAGCCAATAAGAGCTTAACAAATCCAGAGCTCAAAGTTCAAAGAATGACAAATTGTAACTGTTGAAACAGCTTGTCTAGGAAAGTAGTGGACAATGCACTGAAGCTAATCTGTTTTAGCCACAGCTTTTTAGTTCAATATCAAGATTCAATGGGTGAGTGATATTAAATTGTGTAAGTCAGAACAAGTCTCCAAATCATTTTGTAAAAATTCACACACACCAGCTTGAAGGAGGGGGCAGGAGGAGGACTTAGAAAGAAGGCGCTTCACATCTCCAGGCGTGTCCTTCAGCCCGAGCTCCTCTCTACCGTCCATTGAAGACAAGCAAGCAGACAGAGGAGCTTGGGGCTGAAGAACACTTCTGAAAGTGCCAAGCAGCTTTGCTTCTACATACCAGAGGTGCCAAAGGGGCAGTGGGCCTCAGCTTCCTCCGTCACCCAGGCCTATCAGCTCTTAGCACAGATGATTTTGCAAGCTAAAAGAATCATCCCCCTCCCCCAAAGTTGAATAGGTCACAGATATCCCTCTTCTGCAGAAAAGGCCTGTCTGGTCAAATGCTCCCAAACCATGCTTACCACAAACAGGAAGTAAATTAAGTAAATAAAGTAAAGTAAGTAGTAGCCAAAAGGCTTATTATGCAAGTTACATCATAAAAGGATCAGTAGTTGTGTTGACAGAGATGAGAACAAACAGCCAAAGAAAATTATAACAATGATTTCATCTTACCCCCCTGCATCGTATCCCTAAAAGTACAGCTTTACTTTTGACCAAGCCCAAGTCCCTGCCAGACTGTCAGCTTGTATCACCCAGCTTTTCCCACTACAGGATCAAGTCTCCAACGCTCTGGAATAGTTATACACCGTTTGTTTCTCCAGGTATGACTTAAGTATTTTCTCTTACCTGGTCATTTGCATACTTGTTCCACTGAATCCTTGGAAAGCCTAGAGATGTGCATTTGCTTATCGGACCAGATGTTTTTCTTTAACAGCAGTAGGCTGCCCATATTTGTTAGCTCGCTTCCAAAGTGAAGCACTTTGAATCTACAGCAGGGGTTGGCAACCTACAGTCCATGGGACTATTTGATCCAGCCTGCAGACAAGGGGTCTTGGCAGCAGTCGCTTTCCAATGCTGCTGTGGGGAGCAGTACTGGCTGGGCTCTAGCCCCCACCCTCCCTCCAACCCAAACTGGGTGTCTGGCCTGCAGCCAGCCGCAGAAAAGTTGGTCTAAGATGTCCTTTAACAATAAAATCAGAAAATATAGTATTAGCAAATCCCTACGTAACACAGGAAGGGATTCTACCACTCTTGCTGTCAGAAACCCTTTCTTCCCTCTCCCCTCCCCCCTCCTTGGATCTAGCAGTACTTCTCTGTAACCAGAACATGGCAGGGCAAGATAGGTACCATTAAATTCCTGGTGGCCAATTCCCTGAGACAGGCATGTGCTTCACTCTGGAGGTGGGGATAGCAAGTGGGACTGGGATGCTGTTTCCTTATAGGTGTTTAAGGAAGGGAAGTGTTAGTGGCAATGCTCTATCTGCTGATGGGATAAGAGAAATAGCCCGTCTTTCCATGGTTTTCTGCACCATCATGCATTAGACCCAACCAGCAAAGGGACTCTACCCATAGAAAAAGTACTAATAGCAACTTAAAACAGAATCTTAGCAACGCACATAGTAAGTATTTTGTATGCACATTTATTCAAGTCAGTAAAGGCAGAACATGTAAAAAGTTATTCATACAACTATAAATGTACAAATATTAAACACGAGCATGTTAAACAATTTTATTAAAGGAATGGTACTCTTTTTAAAAGGACAGAAAAAAGCCAAGGTGCTGTTTTGTAATTAAAGAGGCAGCATTCTTAGGTGCTATAATTTCTTGGAAATGTTTTTAAAACATATGTAAAAATTGTTTACCATAAGCCCCATCACTTTCTCCTAGAGCTGTTATGGGCATAGATTCCAGACATGATTTTCTAGATTTCCTTACTTTCAGATTTTTTTCATCCATTAGCTTCATATTTTCACTACACTATACTGCTGTAGGATTAAACCTCTGTCTAAAGTGAGTGACCTTTCATATACTGTCAAGTAGGTAACATTTCAATACACTTTCATTTACTCCACTGACATTTTGCTATATACTTCTCTAGTTCTACAAAACATACTGGAGCTTCCATTTCTTAATATTTCTTGTCACACCCCTTGAGTCAAACACACTCAAACCAACTTGTTCTGTTATATATAAAAGACCTTTATGAACTATATAAAAAAGGGATTTTAATTCAACATCAGTGCTATGGATTCTACTTTTTTTAGTAAGTGAAGGTGGGGGGGACTGCTTTTAAAAGTTAAGAGTTGCCTAATTCAATATCACTAGGTAACTACTCAGAAAAAAAAATACTGCTCCCTTACCATATCTCCCCTGCAATCACTCGTTTAGTATAGGGCTGCTCAAAACAAAGGTGCTGGCTCCCTACTGAAGCAACATAAAACTAAGAATTTTATTTTACAGGCTTAATTGAATCAACTTAAAACATTAACTAGAATATTGTTCTTCATAAACAAACTTTTCTCCATTACCCTCCACAGTTAGTTCCTCTAAAAAATTTCCATACTAAAGACTCAATAATTGCTCTAGACACCATGACACCAAGAATTTAAGTGGGAGGTCACTTTTGCACTAAGCACAATACTTCACAATTAAAAACCAAGACCCCAAATAACTCAGTGCCTGGAAAAATTTCAAGAAAATATTATTGAAACCAAGACAAGTTTCACTTCAGAACAAAAGTACTTTTGACTTTAAAGAAAAAGAAAATTCCTTACATTTGGGACCCAAGCCTGATATCAGTCCACTTCTAATTAGTGTGATGGTATCTATCTTTAAACATTTAAAGTACTCCAAGTTAAAACCAGCCCCTTAACTATTTTATTACAGCAATAACATTTGAGGTGCATCATCAGGTCTCCCTACATGGTATCCACATAAAAAAGACACACTGGAATAGATTCAAGTTCTTTATTTTATAATATCCAGTAAAAAACTTAGTTAATAGCATGTGGTAAAAAAAATAGTTTAATTATCTCCTGTGGCAAAATTTAGACCATCAGCTCTGGGCTGCAAGGACAGAGAGGAAGTAAAAACTCAAGTGCCTGAAACATTTCTATACTGTACTCTTCAAAGGAGCCCCAGGTTAAAGGCAAAAGAAAAAAATATTTTCATTATGATGTATTTAAACAGAACTTTGTGTGGTCAGTTATTTTGAGTGCTCCTTTCTGTAGCTGGAAAGGAAACCCCTGAACATGCAAAGAAACCATCCCTACATATACATGATTCAGCCGGTCTAATAATTAAAAAAAAAGTCGCTGGAACTCAGATTAAGGTACGCACATTTGTAGGAGCACAGTCCAGTTAGGATCCCAAGCAAAAAAGAACAAAAGGTCACGAACACATCATCTTAGGGTAAGAGATGACATCTTTGGAGTAGGATCAGCTATACTGGGATGTGTCCTGGCACAGCCAATCCATTCCACTGGTATTTATAGACATCACACACAGCTGTTGCCTTGACCTACTCTTAGGGCTTCAGGGCCCCAAACCTGTGGCAAGACAGTCCCAGGTAGGGGAGGGGGGTTTCCCCACTTGGACACAAGGCCTAAATTGGGGTGCGACAGCCTGCTATGCAGTAAGCACATGTGAAACTATAGTATGAAAAAACAAAACAACAAACAAACAAACAAACCACACGTGACAACCTTTGGTCACAGCAACATTTTTGGCCACTTGGAATGTGACCAGGTGCAAGAAAGTGTTTGCTTGCAACCTTGTGCTGCTATAAAAAAATGGCACAAGGATAACATTTCTTTGCATTGTTATGTGTAGTTTAAAGGGGAGTCTAAGGAGAGGGTCATTGGAAGAGCGACATTTAGGCCAGTAACTACTTAATCCAGTAGTGGAACACAAGGTTTGCAATCATTTTCATTTTGTTTTAAGTTTTGGCAATATGAAGTGCAAGAGATAGCAACTTACATTTTGGGGCCTATTCTGATGATATACATACCAAATAAAAGCAGCTGAAAAAGTTCTCTTAACTGATTCATCCAACTATTTCAAAATAGTATTTATTCACTACAGAAATTCAGTACTCCAGTCACAAGCAGTCAGTCACACTTAACCCCCCCCCAAACTTAAAATAATAATTTTTAAAAATCTGTTCAAAGCCTCCTTCCATTTCCCATTAAACCAAGATAGTATACCAAAATGTCAAGTTACACCTAGCATACCATTAGGAACAGAAGTCTCAGACTGCTCTGCGGCATTATCAATACAAAAGTACACGGGTAACAACTTGTCTCAGGGCTGTGTTTTTTTTAAGCCATTCACTCACTTTACTTTGAGCATATTTTTTAATCTCAGCTACTTCATTGCAATCATACCGCAGCTCTGTAACTAGTCTCCTTTTATATGGCTGTATTTGAGTTTGGTTTTGACATTTATGCAAGTGGTTTCAAAGCCATCTAGAAGTTTTTAATTCCATCAATCTGAGGTCCTCAAAAAAAATATTTTTAAAAACTGCTGAAACTAAGAACTATACCAAATAAACTAATTTTTTATGACCGGTTACCAAAAAAGCAGGTCAAAGTATTTAATAGTTCGTTTCAAGAAGTCTTGATACTGCAACACTTACTGAAGTTATTCTGTGGTTTAAGACTGATACCTTGAAATGAATATGATCAGTTTTTTAATCAAATGCTTTGTTTTCCAAGAAAAAAAGCAATAATGTTATAGCAAAATAATAAAAAAAGTGTGCATGCACACACAGCTATATTTTTCCCCATTAGCAGTTATTCCATAAAGCAGATGTTTTGGAAATTACAGACACCATTTCTCCTTGAGCAAGATCTCTTCTGGTTTTGTTTTTACATTTTTCCTCACTTTATTTTGAATTCATTCTTGTGACCTAGCACTGTTGTTACCCAATTGACTGGCTTTTAAACATTTAACAGGCCATACCTACTGCACACAAGTTGGTATACTACTTCATATCAGTAATATTATACATATCTGAAGCCACGTCAGCACGAAAACAATCAAAGACGACCTGGTTCTCTCAGAAGATATTGCACATAAAACTTAAACAAGCATCAACTAATAGGACATCATGCATCTTACTGACCAGTTAAAGGCACTTTGGTTATGAATGTAGCTGGTACATTTTTCTTGTATGCTCCTATAACCAATAGGATTTTACAGCTTATGCTTAGCACAGATTTTGATGGTCTTGAAAACTGGTATGCTGTATGAATTAAGTGTGGAACCCCCCTCAACCCCATTTGTAGTGCAAGTATTTCAGAGAACAGCATTCCCCTAAAATGACTCTTCTTTAATAGGGAGCAGGGATATTCTTTCAAAGTTCATCCTCCTTCAGAAAGACAGGCTAATATGCAAAAGAGTGGCCAGGTTATTAATTGAGAACAATCCAAGGACTGAAGCCACTACAGTCCAGTTGCAATTCTGTGCGTAATGTTATACAGCATTATACACCAGGGATGGACTTTATGTAACAGCCAGTGGATTAGAAGGAAGTTTGCTTCAGTGAAAGTGTCTCTATAAATTGTAGGCTTTTGACAACTTGAACATACAAGACATTTATTTCACAAAAGGAACACATAAACCAATTTAGGCATATTTATCTCAAAAAAGTAGCTTAGAAAAAAGTAGTCATAAATATTCTAGTGCATTTAAACCAACACATGAGAGTTTATGACCTACTTTGCACTTTCAACAGACCAAGCAAGAGACTTCTGACATCAGCAGCATTTTGGATGTTATGCCTAGCCAAAAATACAGCTTAAGCCAGTGAGGAAGCAGAGTACAATTAATACAAGATCACCAGATACTGAAGATGTTACACCTTCAAGTCAGCAAGCTGAAGCTCCCCAGATCTGGAAAAAGAGGTTATGAGGAGGGGTCAAGTCATGACCTATTTTGCCTGCCACCAGGAATAGACAGAGGTAAACCAATATAGATTACCTTCCTCACTTGGTAACAATTTTAGAACTTCCTATTATATCCAAGTTCCAAACTGAACATCTGTATTCACTTTTCCATGCGTAAATTAAGTGCAGCATTCTTAATTAGTGAAAGCCTCTATTAAATAGATGAATGGAATATCAAAACTAGTGAAAGTCTTTAAGAGCAGTTATTCTTTCTTACTATAATCTCTAAGATATCCCTCTTGTACATTTGGTAATACTCAGAAGGCTCAACTACAAAGAGAGAATGAATGCAGACTTAACAGTATTTAAGATAAGTAACCAAAGGGTGTGGTAGTTTCATTTTCAATATCCCCATATGAAGTTAAAGACAATACTTTGCAAAAAAAGTGTTAGTGCATAAATAAGTGTCTGGCTATTTAAAAATTACTATGCAGATGGGTGACATTCCTCAAAACATGTTAATTGTGTAGGCCAACTAAGAGAAAGGCAAGTGTTTGACTAAGAAAATACACTCCAAATAGTGACAGCATTTGAAGCAAAATATGCTCTAGTGGCAAAGCACTTTTAGTGTCTACTGCACTTCCCTGCTATGCATGACACTTGTTTTCCCATCCTGTTCCTCTAACTTGCCAGCAGTGTGCTCATTTGACTTTGAGACTTTGTTACTTTATAGATTAAGACATGCACCTACATTCAGGCAGTACTGGACTGGATGGCTCCTTGAAGGCTGTTAGGGAGCCCCAGTGGTAGTGAACAATCAGAAATGTGTGCATCGGTAGAAAGAGGCATGCAGGAAGAAGAGGTTGTTGGGGACAAGGAGGGAACTCATGGTAGAGAAAAAAAGTACTAATTCAACTGAAGGCAGGTGCGTTCTGCATTTCTAGAATGGAACACAATATTCATCCTAGAAATTGCAACTCAAACTGAAGGTTACTTTTATTCCTTTAAGGGTAAACCATCCTCTTTTTTGTCAAAGTGGTTAATCTGAATACTAGAGCTGTAACTGCTGTTTTACTAAAGGATGAATGGCAATTCACAGAAGATACACAGTTTCATACCAAACAAGATGTATAAACATCTCAATATCACCTACAGAAAACAGAACACCCCATTTGATTGTCATAATGCAGCACCATAGGAGTAGTCTGAGCCGAGTAACAAGTCTTGCTGCTCATTCCATTGAATTTGCATGCAGTTACAGTAACATTAGCAGCACTGTGATTTACTCTCTGCTTTCAAGGGATCTGGGTCCAGTTTTAGCTTGCTCACATCGTTGTCTTCATTGGGAAAACTCCTGTAGTTGGCAAGTATATTTTCCACCAGGAATCTAGCAGCTTCATCTATGTTGATATTGTCCTAAAGAAAAAAAATGGAGATAAAGTTAATCATATATAAATCAGTTACAAGTCTGACAAATGCCAATTCTTTGCAATTGCAAAACAGTGCAACTGACAGGCAGCAGCTTAGATAGCGATCTATTCATGATGTAGCTTCACAGAAGGAAAAATGCTAGAAGTCCTTTCATAAGCACATGAAAAGCTTGATCCAAATCTTGCTGTAGATTCTCTCTGTAGCAAAGGGGAAAATTCACCAATTTTATAAGTGGAGGTATTCTGTCCAATGTTTACCCTAGTAAAACTGAAGTGGGCTGGTAGTTTCTATTTGGAGAATCATGCTTGGCTTACGCAAGTACTGCAATTACAGCAATCCGTAACTGCAGAAACTGGATATTCACCCACCTATACCACCAAGCAGATGACAGTATATAGCACTTATTGGTTCAGGACAAAGGGAAAGCAATTAAATTAGCATCCTTCATTTTGGAGCATGCACCCATCCAGTCGTGCAAATGAGGAGTCAGAAAGCTTTGATAAGTGTTTAGGAGCCAAAAAATCCCCTAAGAATGTCCATTCTCTCCCCCAGGTATCTACCCACTCAGCAAAAAGAGTAGGAGAAAGAGTGACTTTGGAACACAACTAACTTTGGCTCAGAAATAAACCCAATAGCTTAGTTTAAAAGTAACACTAGACTAGTGTGCATTTAGAACTATCCACACACACGGCAAAAGGCAAAAGTAGAAAACATGATCTGTACTCATACTATATAGGGCAGCAAAAGCCAAAAGAACCATATATATTTGGAGACTAGAAATAGGCAAAGACATGGTGGATAGCCATGGTTATGTATTGAATCTTGCTCTTAGTTGCTCCCTTTCAGTTGCATGCTTTCCATTTTTAAAAGGTTTGAGGTAGTGAGTTGATACATTGTTCAACTCTTGCACCACCCAGAATAGAACGCAGTACACATCACTAGCACATATGGCTGTAAATTTCAATTTAAAAAAAGTTGTACTAATGCATTATTCTGACAGGCCAACCTTGCATATAGCCCTACACCACAGTTTTAGGAAAGACCAAAGAGGATCACCTCATCGTTAGCTTCATCTGAGACAAAAGCAGGAAAGAAGGCAGGCATCAGCAACGGCAAATTCTTACAGTAGGAGAGCTAGGAAACAGTCCACAAGGTATCCTGACAGGAAATTGTACCGAGTTCTGTTGCACTAGCACCAGAATTACCAATGAAAGAACCTAGAGTGTTAAACTCAGAGCCATTTTCTGTACCAGAGATGGTGCCACCCAAGGCTTATCATATTGTCTTCAGCCTAAAATTCCATGTCAATATGAAATAAAAAAAAGATTTTCAGTTAAATTGGAGCTGTTCACAGGCTCTTATTAAAAGGCTAGATTTGAACTTTTGAACTGAAGTTTCAGATTCAAAACTTAAGTGGACACAGAGCCAAAACTCTGAATCCAAACAGTCCTACTTATTCACAGCTCAAAGTTGTAGAGAAAAAGTGGGTGCTCGTATGGGAATTTTCTGATCATTTGTTTTGCTGAAAAGTGCCATTTTGGTGAATGCAAAATGTTTCATTAGAAATTGGTTGAAACAAACTAGTGAAACAAGCAAGTGCAACAGAACTTAGCACTCAAGGTGACCTGGCAGGAAGCTATGCTATTTCTTGTTTGTGACTCCACAAGGACTGCCCAGGAACCAGGGGCTCAAAACTCTCCAGCTTACTGCACTGAAGCCAGAGGACTGGAAGCCTCAAGTTATCAGACTTTTAAGGTTTCTAGACTCCTTTCTTGCTGCTGGAGGATGAATGCCTGACTTCCTGGTCCATTTTCAGTGCAGTGCAAGTCCACTGGGAACTGGAGACAGTTGTGACCATCTGGGTCATCCAGGCATTGTGTCCCCTATCTGTCCAAATGAAGCTTGCCACTCAACCACAAGAGAGCACATGACCTTGCAGAGACCATTTTAACACTAATATCTGCTCTCTCAAAACAAAAAACAAAAAAAACAAAAAACCACCCCCCCCCCCCACACACAGCAACAGTACCATAAACTGTCTACTTAAAATCAGAACACCAAATTGAAGGCAACCTTTATGGGACTATTTGAAAAGACGACAAAAAAAAGAGTGCTCACATTCAGATCATACTATTTCTTTAAGTTTTCCATTTCAAATGCCCCATAAGAGAACCCAAATGGTTGGCTATGTTTTATGGGACTTTAAAACAGTTTAACCATAGCTCATGCTAGAGTATGTATTTTAATAGGAGGCTCTGCATATAATCTTTGAGAGCTAGTCAGTTCAACTAGGCTTTCAAGTGTTTGTTAGGACTTCTTGGTTAGGTTCCTCCCAAGACACCTCTTGCTTACTGTACTAACAGAATAACTGCAGTTCCTTTCAGTACTGCAGAACACACTGATGTTCAGCTCATGCTTTGGGTAACTGCACCTTATTTGTTGAAGTGTTCTTCACTCCAAGAACCCTAGAGACACTATTTCATGATGCATTAAAGTGTTACTAGTAAACTGCTAAGTTTACTGCTTCACATCATGAGGCAACTGAAGTTTCAAGTGGAAAGAAGCACTGCCCATAATTAAAATTTCAGACTGAAAGAAGCTTTTACTCTGCCATACAGGTTTAAAAAGGAGGTTGATCATTCTGCTGGCAAAGCTCCCTGTAGAAACAGACTGCTCTTGAGGTCTTTCAACAGTAGTCATTTTTCTGGTCTGAAAAAGTACAGCCTCTTCCCAGACTTCTCTGCACCTCATTGCTCAAGCTTCTTTTGTTCAGAAAAGCAGATGATGTCCTCTCTGAATTAGTCCTTGCATTTGACACGTTCTATTCTCTACCTACTCCCCTCTTGTAGGTTTCTGTTTGCCCCAAGGCTTCCCCAACCCCACCCCAAACCATCCCTTTCCAACCACTTCCAGTTGCTGGGAACAGCCATCTCACATTTAAGAGTGTTTTTCCCCCATGTCTGTCTCATGTGACAGTTGAAGGGGAAGTGAGCAAGCAAAAGGGAAGGATATGAGAGGCTTTGTGGTTTGAGTTCTCTATGGGCTGCATTATAAAAATGCAGCTTGTAAGTACCAGATGAAAAAAGCCAACTTGAGTCTAAACGATCTATAAAGCTACTAAAATGAAAAAGGAGAAGAGCCAGAGTCTATAAAGCCTTTTAGAAAGCTTGAGGGTTTGCCACAGGCTGACAATATTCAGGTACTACACCAATAGGCTAATATAGAAAATTTAAATATTAACTAAAATTCTATAAATTGCCAAGCGAGTCATCTAGAGGCTTTCAGAAGACATTTACCTCTTTGGTAAAAGACACTGACTGGTTTTTACAAATTCATTTCTGTTGTGCCGTTTTACAAGTCAGGTATCATTCTTCCCTCATTTAAACTATCGGTTACGAAGTTTGAGTTCCCAATAATTATTTTCAGTGAACATGCATGTCAAGTAAATGCAACCAAGTAAACTGGTATTTTGGTTTGTTCTGCATTTTAACTGGGAAACAGAAGCCCTGTAAAACTGCTGTCAGTTACTTCCGTCTCTCCGTCCACACCATAACCAAATATAACAGTTGTTTTAGGTCATTCTCCCCACAAATTAAGTTGGGGGCTTTACACTGCTTCAGTTCCATTTGGCTGCGTATAAAGAGCACAGAATCAATGTACAAGTCATATACCAGAAACATTTGACAGATTACTTAGTAAAAAAAAAAGTCCCAAAACAGGGTCAGAGAAGTTGATAAAGCAGGTCTTGCCTCCTGAATCATCTTGTTTTATATGGTCTGAGTGTAACTGTAATTGAACAAATGAAGTTCTACAAAAAAGAGACTGAATACTTCTCACCATTATTTTGGTATTTCAAAGCATTTAGTTCACTTGTAGAATAGCATCAACCCTCATTCAGTATACTTAACACATTTTGCAAGTCTCTCAGTAAAGGAATACATTTATTAAAACAGTTCTTCCAGTCTCTGCTAGAACAGGTAGTGTAGGCAAGTGTCCTGTACTCCATACTCCTGCCCATGGTTATTTATGAATTTAACTAGGATTTGTTTTTTTCTTTGATCTCTCAAGAGATTTTTGAACACATTTGTTTTATTAAACTAAACTACTCACCTTGGCAGAGGTTTCAAACCATCCAACAAAACCACCTTCCCTGCAGAACTGGTCCATTTGAGAAGGAGTCTGGCCATTGTCTTTTTTCTGGTCACACTTGTTTGCAAGAAGAACTGCAGGGATGGGACTGCCATTTGGAAGTAACACTTTACTGTCCAAGTCATGTTTCCACTTTGAAACGGCCTCAAAAGTGGAACCCCTTGTGACATCAAAGACCACAAAGGCACCAACAGCCTCCTTATAGTAAACTCTTGTCATGTTACCAAATCGTTCTTGGCCTGAAAGACAAAAAAGTAATCAGTAAGACTCGGTCACACACACCCACCCACCCCATTGAAATAGAGGGCTAGATAAGCCAGTACCTAATTTACAAGATGTGATCAACTCCTAAAAAAGGGTGAAAGTGTTGGATAAGCAAACAGAGGAATTTGACCACATGCTGGTTGGTATTAGGAACATCTCTGCCAATAGTAAGAGCCAGTGATTTTCAACTCAGATTTGGACAACAGTGCATAGCTTGCATCCTACAGAACTCTAGCAATGTATTTTAGTGGTTGGTCTTCTACTAAAGCTAGACCAATTTTACCAAATCAAATGAAGATTAGAGAGAACGCTCTCAGAGATCCCACAAGCTCCTCTTCTACAGATTTACTGTGCAGCTAGTTCAGTTTAAGTGTTATGCAAGCTCAGAAACAAGAGGTAGTCAATGAGATGGGAATCTATATCTACTAGTAAAGCACTACACTCACTTGAGTAATCTTTAAGAGGCATCTGTCTTACTACTTTTTCAGTAAATTAAGTTGAAGTAAAAATCTGTTATATCCAGCCAGGTACAGTGTGGGAAGAGGGGAGAGAGACTGCTCTTCTCAGTCAAGAAAAAATATTGGCAGTACTGTTCAGCTCATTAAAAAAAGGGAACAGAGCCATTTGTTTTGCTCACTGGAATAATATCAGCACAATCTCCCCATTTTAATAAGATCAGTACTTCACTGCAGTCTGTGATGAGCTCATTCCCAATAGGAGTTTCCTAGGATTTAAAAAAAATGCCAGCTAAGCAGCTGTTGATATCACCTGGAGTCAGCAGTAAATGCAACAGAGACCCCAAGAACCATCTGTCTGGACTTTATTAAAAAAGGAAAAAAAGCCAGAAGATGTACTACTCCAATAGGATAATTAACACATGAACAGAAGACAAAACCCAAGAGTCTGTCAGAGACCATGCAAGCTAGTTGAGAGAAGAAACTGCCTTCATTCTCTGTCACTCTTAAGTCCAAATGCCATCAACTGGCTCCACACAAAAAGGGTAGAGCTACCAAAAAAAGGGTCACATAGAATCTAGGCGATGTTAAAGTCCCAAAGTTGTAAAGCAAGCTCATTCTCCCAAAGTCCAATATCCTCCAAAAAAGACAAGAGGCAACACATTCCCAAGGATGGAACTGGGTAAAGAGAGAACTGCAAAGCTTTTCTGTACTGAACAAAGTTATAGGGCAAAATGAGAAAGCCCTTTCAAACGACCAACCTAAGTAGGGGTGCTAGTTAGGGTGGGTTAGAAAGTACTCAAAACATACAGTGGTATTTTTCCAGGCAGTTCAGCCCATACGGAACAGCCAATTGGTTTTTGGCTCAGGCAGCTCGCTCTAACAGATGTTAAATTTTCATTCTTCCAAGTGCTGTTTCCACTGCTCTTTTCCACCTGGGCTGCCAGAATTTGATGCAGTGTAGCCACAGTATTTTGGAAGAGTTGGGAAATACTGCCAATTTGCATGCCCATGGCACCACATACATACAGCCATAAAGCTTTGTTAAGCTGTACCCTGAACCTAGTGTGCTCCAGGGTCTTGCTGCTGGATGATAAGTTTATGGTGTGGCAATACCAGCTCAGCTGAATATTTCAAAAAACTTAAACTGGGTTTTGCAAATTAGTTTTAGATAGTGACGTTTTCCCAGGCAATTCCTTCCCTATGCTTTAGTGTTATTAACGGGAGTTTGTACCATTAAGTATGACAAGTAGGGCTATATGGAAAGGTGTGTTCAAAGTGCCATTAGTTTGCAGGGCAGTGTTTTAAATTAATCAATTAGTATAAAAAACAAGTGCTGGCCATATGCAAATAAACCAACATAGTTCCTTCGGTATTTAAAGGCCTGAGGTAAATATTTATTAGGAATTTACCAACTCTGCTGTCATAGTATGTGCCTCTAGAATTGCTTAGATAATGAAGCTTAGCTATTTTAAATCTTCCTTTACTTAGTGAGACAATTCTATAGCAGCTCAATTGAAGGGTACACTGCCTCAAACTAAAATTTGGAGTCAATAAAACAGTCTTGTGCCAAAATAAAATGACACCATTTTAGTAAAAATACACAAGCTTGTTATAACTCATGCCAATGATTGCTTAGTTACAAGTGTGCCACACAGCAGTAGCAAAATCTGCCTTCATGTTGTAAGTAGCTGGATTCTTTTGTGTTACTAGGAGCCATAAATATACTCTAAATTTAGGAATCTTCTCTGCAGAGATTTAGGTTATTTAATTGATCAAGTGGAACAGATTGGATTGAGGACTACATTACTGTATTCTCACATGCCACTGAATAAAGCCATGCACCTGGTTTTCAAAAGGCAGAATAATGAAAAGCTCTTTCTTTGCAAATACTAGTAAGTATGGTATTTTTGCAAGGAAGACAGGCAGCTGTTGCAAGGTAAAAATACCTGCAACTCTTGTAACTCCTTAGCTGCAGGACATGGCAGGTACTGCTCACTGCCCACTCTGCTCCAGGAGAGGGGCCAGGCAGTTCAGCTCTGGCAAGATCAGCCCTCAGCTGACTCAGCAGGTAGTAGCGGCTGAGCTAAAACAGCCTGGCCCCTCTTCTCTAGCCAGATAGGTAGCCAGCAGCATGTGCAAATCCAACTGAGGGCCAATTCTGCTGGAACCAAGCTATCCATGTCACCCCTCTTCTCTTCAAGCCAGGTGGGCTCTCAGCTGAAAAGTCAGCAGGCACCGCTGGCTGCCCAGACAGTTTAATAGGCCGTTTGGCTCCTACAGGATCCCTGCTCCTCACATTGCCTAGTTTAATACATGCCACCAAAATTTCAGTGAAGTGGTGCACATCATAAGCAAATAAAGTGCATACCCATACTGCACAAAGTCATGTTTTCCATTATAAAATTAGAAGGCGCTCGCGAAAAAGGAGACTTACCTTGAACAGCTAGTTGTGTGTAAGGGAGCCATGTTAAGGCTGGATAAATTTTAGGTGTACCCCCTCTTTATTTTGAAGAAAGAGAGCGTAGCTGGTTGTCAGGGACTCCCCAGGGAAGCACTTACTTGGGACTGTCTGCTTTATGTAGCCTCTGAAGCCAGCCCAGGCATAGTTTTTGAAGTGGGGCAAGTCCTAGTTCAATCCAACCCCCAGTCTTGACCTGGCCATTCAGTCCCCAACCCTCCTTAGTTACCCATGGCCTTCCCTCAGGGGACTTTGCCTCTTCAGGAGCTGAACTAGAAGGTGCTCTAAAATCCTAAAAACAGAGACTGTTCTTCTTTAAAAGAGAAGGCCTTTATTGGGCAAAATAGCATAGCAAGCAGTTCTAGCCCCTCCAAAGATTTAAAGTCACCCTTTTCCAATCCACATAGCCCTGAGCACCCAAAAGCAAGCTCCACTGTCATCTCTCCAGTCTCTTTAGCCCTCAGAAAGACACCCTCCTTTTCTGCTGTTCAGTTTTATGCTAAGCTTCCTCTTTCCCTTAATGTTTCCCAGGCAGCAGGGAGTCTTCTGACAAGGGATGTTTGCAAAGCCCCCCCCCCCCCCCAGCAGGGAATCTTTTGAAAAGGGATTTTTGAAAAGCCCCCCCCCCCCAACAAGGCTATTTAATTCTTCATTGTTAGAGGTGCATCCTGTCTCCTCCTGCAGGTAGGGCAGCTCTAGGTCCTAGAGAGGGGCCTATTAACCCCATCTTCCCCAGTGCACAAGCTAGTCAGTGCAAATGACCACATAAATGCAAAGCCTTAAACCAGAAACATTACAAAAACCATACATACAGCATTGGAGGATATTAGTATAGCAGTATAAGACATCAAGATTCAGTATGCCTTTGATATTTTAGAAAAAATAAGACTTTTAAAGGGTTATTTGTTCTTTTTATTGCAGAATCAACTTCTGGAATCTCAGTTTGATTACTGGACACTAGAACAAGTATCCATACCATGGGTACCACTCAGCACAATCGGCATCCAAACAGCACACTCAAGTTTTGCTTCTGATAAAGTCCAAAGGAAAGCTGCCAAGAATATTTTCCATCTCCCACTCCCGTAAATTTAGACACCACTCATTTGTGGTAATTCAGTTTTAATCCTCGTCAATCCTGTCCCCTAAAATGCTGCCCTGCTTTTTTCTTCTCTTTTGAGAGCCATCCCCATACCACATTCACTTTAGTGTCATGCTCAATACATCATTTGCAGAAGCAGATAATCCCTGATCTCAATAGTGTTTTTTTCAGAGTGGAATGCCTTTCCTGTACCAATTGCAAGGCCCCTCTAACTACAGGTGGATTGTCAACCAAAACATTTATTGCAGGATTTGGCACCATCCACATGTGGAGAAAGCCTTGTTCCAACATGTCTAGGCCCATTTCGCTTCCCCCCCCTCTGGATTATCTTCCAAAATAATGGCATGCTTGAAATGGTCTGCATTCTGCTAGAAGTGATATCATTTAGAAGATGGAATGCTACCAAAAGAGATGCATGTGAAATCACGGTACAGATGTTACCAACACCAGGTGAAGGAGACTACTGGTTTTTCAAGAGATGAGATCCAATAGCAATTTCTCAAAAAAAAGTGGTTCTCTTTAACGTTAGAAGTTTATTTCCAAAGAAAATCATGAATCTCTGAAAAAAATCTGTGATATATCAGAGTAAAGCCATTATATCCTGGACCATCTACTAGTAAGCAGAACTAGTAGATTGTAAGCAGGCTTTCAGCATGTATCAAGTACACAATCATATTTAGTTCCCACATGGGGAGACTGCCCAAGAAGTTTTGTAGTTAACAGAAGAGCTTGCTGTTGCAATAGTCCTGCAGTGAAAAGTTCCAATACCTAGAATCTAGTCAGATTTCTTGAAAAGTCCCTGATAGTATTTTCAATTTGCTGCACCATATTTTGACCTTCATTTTCACCTTTTTCATGACAGGCCTTCTGTGACAGAACAGCTAATTTCCAAACACAACGCTTTTTCCATTTCCAATTGGCCCTCGTTCAGCAAGGTTAAAAAAAAGCTTCAGGAAGGCA